CAGAAGTTAAATGAAGTGATCTCTTATTTAAATGTATGGGAATTTGGTATTCCAATCTTTGATTCCTTTGATAACAGTTGCAAATGGCTGCATCATCAAAATGCATTATTGTTGAATTTGTTTTGCAACTCGATCTACCTTACTTGGAAGGATAGGAATCAAGTGGTTCATTGGAAATTGGAAAGGAGCTCAATGTTCATTGCTTCTGAGGTGATTAGTTATGCTACTATTTCTATAGGTTGTAATCTATATAACTTGGGCCAGTTGGTTGCCAATCAGCATTCGCTGTTAGAAAATACTTAGCATCCTCCTCCACCCTATTGGATCAAAATTAATTTGTATGCTTCATTATTCCTGTCTTACACAGGAGACATTGGAGGTGTTATCCGATATCACAGAGGCAGATTTCTATTAGCTTTTGGAAAACCTTGTATTTATTGGGATATAGCTCATTTGAAGCTTCTAGTTATTAAAGCCATCAAAGATTTTCTTAAATATTGGATGTTTGAGTGTAAGGGACTCGTCATTGAAGGAGACAATGTAAATATCATAAAGTTCATTCAGGATGCGATAAAAAAAGGTGAGCAAAGTTTAGAAAGCTTTTCTTTTATCAAGAATTTTAATTTAGTGATTTTTAATTGTATAGAGAGAAGCTCTAATAAGTTAGTGGATCTTTGTGCTAACTACGCTATTTGTTCTTCTTTTATTTGGGATGACATTTTTATGGATATGGTTCCTCCGTCCTTTCTTAAAGTGTTAAAGGAGGAATCTCTAGGATGCAACTTGTAGTTTGTTTCCTTCTTTTTTATTATTAATGCAATCGTTTGCTTCCTTCAAAAAAAAAACTAAACAATCCCACAAAGCCTTGGGACCACTTCCAACATGTCCAAAATATCATTTGAAATGAGATAGACCCACCCTTGAACCTTAGTCAAACTTGTTTGACCAAGTCAATCTTGGTTGAGCAAAACATGCCATACACACTTCAAAAATTTTACTTATCATGGTTTTGGCCAAATCATTGAATCAAACTCGTGAGGACTATTCATGAGATTAATATAACTCTCTTAAAAAAAATCTTAGCCCTTGAGCCCACATGGTTTGGCCAATGGGGTTAACCAAGTGATAAAATTGGAATTTTCATGATCTAAATCACTACCCTTACAGAACTAAATTCTAAAAATTATTTATGTGTGTATTGACCCCATGCACATATCCCAAGAGTCTAAACCCATGGATTAAGCTGGTTTAAAAGTATGGGATAAACCAAGCTCTCTAAAACCCATGTTTTTTGGATCCTAGACCAACCTAGCTCAATTTGAACCCAACCAATGGTTTTCATGCACTCTGAAACATTCTCCCTACAGGTCATGTCAAGCTCAGGGCACATGGGTTGCAGTTGTTGCAATTACCTCCAAAAAAATCTTTCTCCAAAGATTGGTTCAACCATAACTTTCCAAAAATAAATCATGTTCTTTCAAACTCTTCAGATTATTCCTTAATCTCCCATTGGTCACTCTAAAACTAATATGGAGGTGGGTCATGGCTTAGGTTGAAAGATCCAAGTAGTAAAGTTAAATTTCTCTCTCATATAAATACCCCTTCTTCCTTTGAAGAAAGGGTTGATCAAATTGATTCCTCAGTCTCCTAGTAAGCCCTCTAGCTCCTCCATAGACTCTTCCTGCCTTCCTTTGTTTAAGAAAACCTCAAACTAGCAAGAGAAAGAAAAAGTGAGGAAAAAAGAATTCAAATATATATTTTCCTCCAGTAGAAAACACTTATGTAGCATTTTAGGAAGTTGAAGAGGGTCTCTCAAGCTTTCGAATAATTCCAAGATCAAGAAAATCCAACCTCAATTTAGAGAGATATCTAGATTTAAAGATTTAAATTAAAATTATATTTTCTCATAGATCTCAATACATGAAGTCATCAAACTCCAGGCATTAAAAGGTCAGATTCTTTAGATCCTATGTTTAGAATTTTATCAAATTTGAACGGTTGGATAAAAATTTATGGGAATTTGAATATTCAATTCATTTTGAATTAAAATGAGTCTTTCAATTAGTCATTCAATCATCTGATTAGACTGGTCATATCTGAAACCATGTGTGTGATTCCTCTTGGATTTAAAAGCATTTCGAATTAACAAATCTTAGGCTACGTGGAACAATCCTAGTCGTTGATCGTATATGGTTTCAATCCGACAGTTGGATCCTCAATCTGGCATGTTTAAGTCATACGCAAAGTGTCTAATGCATGTTAGAAGGCCTCTGCCATTGCGACAATCATTACCAATCATTGACAATAATTATGCACTGGCTGATTTTGAATTTAAAATGAATTAAATAAATTATTTAAATGCCCAAAACTTTAATAAGTCATAGAAAATTCAATTTAAATCAAACTTTAGTGTTTTTGGACTTGTTGGAAAGCTCTTGAGCTCTACTTTATTTTAAAAATATTTTTAAGAGTGATTAACTAGTGGATCTAGAGTAAATTAGAAATGTTGCATTTCCAATTTTCTTGATCTCAAGATCCAATGGTCAAATGGATCTCAAATTTGGATGATAAATATTAGGGTACATATTTAGCTACCCCAATTTTCTTGGATCTTAGTCTGACCAAATTTTCTATGAATTGAATTTTCATGTTCATGGACCCATTTTGGATCCATAATTTTAAAATTTCATAACTATCCACGCACTTAGAGTTAAACTTTTATTTGTCTGTAGTATGTTTATAAGTATGTCAGGGTTAGTTTTCCACTAATTTCACCCTATTCCAATAAATCTAGATGATCCTAAAACAAATCACCAAATCCATAGATATATTTACTTTTGGTGATTATTTTTTTACCTTAAAGAGGATTTGATGAGCTCAAATTCAATGGTTTTGAAGCATATCTATGTTTTAAATTTCACTGTATTTGGAGGTCATTTGTTTTATCATTTAGTAAACCAAAGATTCATGTACGTATTTTTTATACGATCTTTGAAAATTCATAATAAAACCTTTTTAAATCCAAAAATAACACATAATATATTAAAATATTTAGAAATAAAATCTTAATAAAGAAAAATAATACCCCCTTAAAATTCATTCAAATTAAAAATTAATTTAAAATCAAGGAAATCTAATATTTAATTAAAATAAATAATTAAAAATATATTAACATTATCAAAATAATTATAAACACTTGAAATCATCCCAAGTTGTCATTTTTTACATTTGTAAAAAATTTAATGAGGTTTTGAGTTGATTTGATACAAAAATAAGAAAATGCTCAAAATTAAATAAATAAATCACTAAACTTCAAAATTTCATAATTAATTAAAAAAATTCAATTTCAATAAAATATTTTTAAGGTTAGACTGCCTAAGGAGACATTGGTCCTCATGCCCTTTTTAGCAATGACATAAATAAATTTGATAGAATGTAAATATTAAAATTATAAAATTAATAAATTAATATTAAATAATATTAAATTAATTTTAAAATCATTAATAAAATGCTTAGACATTATAACTTCTATACCATAATGCTTTTCTTCCTTTTAGGAGGGCAAAGGTCTATTGACTTGAGAAACTTTAAGGATCAAAATATTTAATTAAAATAAAAGACTTCATGCTATCAATCTATCCCGATCATGGTGAATTGGTAGCATTACATTTTTTTAGTCAAAGACATATCGATCGACAGCTTCTGGCACTTAGAATTTGTTGAACGTTATATTCATTATAACTTTATATATATATATATATTCTTTATAAATTAAGTTAAATAACTTCAACAATCAAAACATCCTTAAAAAAAATTTAAAACCTTTAAATCATTAAATAATTTCAACAATCAAAACAGCCTTTAAAAACTTTGAATAAATAAATTCATTTATAGATAATTTTAAACTAATAAATCCTAGGAACTATCCAAGCCACACAATCTTTCTACACACACTTAGATGATTTGTTAAAAGAACAAACTCTAACTTATGCTAGACCAATAGTTTGCTTTACTTGTCAAGTACTTTGCATAAAAAATATCTTGTATTTATTTATATATTTTCAGCAATCTGAATATCATATATTTTAAATTCATGTTGATGCACTTAAACTTTTTAAGGAATATATTAGTAGCATTGAGTTATTATTAACCTCAATAAATCATCTGACCAGCCTTATGTTGCAAATCCCAAACATTGCAGATTGAGTGACTTGATATCCAATGCCAATGGAGCGTCAATTTGTGCTAAACTAGGCCAATGTTATCCTTATTCTATTCATATTTTTAACATATGATTCAAATTCATGATTTCTAAACATAACAGAGATATCTTGATCATTCCTTCGAGATAGCCAATTATTATAAGATGTGCTTATCAAGCATGTATAAAAATCAATTATTTCTTACTACTTAAAATACATTTTAGTAAAAAAATTTCTTGAATTTAAATTTTGTAATAAAAATTTCTTTTAAAAAATAATATTAAAACTATCCTAAACCAAACCTAAATCTTTATAGGAACGCGATGGTTGGATAAAATGCTGAAATGGTTAAATGAGCAAGACTTATGGAGCATATGTAAAAGAATATGTATATGATAACATAATTCATTATTTCACAATTTTGTAAATGTTAAATAAAAAAATGCAAAAAAAATACAAACTATTTAAAGATTAAATAAATTAGTTCAAAAACTTTCGAAAAATTTTCCCCAACGAGATGATGGATTTTTAAAATGACGCCATAACAGATATAATGAATCATTCCAATCATGCCAACTCATAAAATCATTTTATTCATGATTTGTACAAATGAACAAACGAATAAGTTAAAACTGATAAAAGTAGCAGATTATGTTTTATTTTTTCTTTCTATTTTTTGTCATAGACATTTTTTAGTTTCTTCTTGCCTAAGAGACTTTATCACTAGGGCAGAACCCTTTATTTTAAAAGATGAATAAATCAAATTCGATCAACCACTTAGCAATCCAAACATGCATAGACCCATAATAACAACAATGTTGTTCATCATATTTCAAGCCATTTAAGAATGTAAAGAAGACTTTATGTCCTCAAACACATCTAAAGGAGATAGTGATAAGGCCATATTAGCTGGGCGTCTGTTAAATATGCATTTGAATGCTCTACAGGTTTGACAGGATATCTCCAACCCCAAATTAACAGAAATTCAAAGGACATAAACCTAAGAAGCATACCTTGCCCAGAAATAAACTCCAAAGCATGGCTTAACTTCAAAGGGTAAGAAAGAAAAAGGAAGGTTCGTAGCACTGTCTAATCCAAAATCAGGACCACATTTGATAAGATTTATTCACATAGATAAGGACCAATTACTTCAGTCACTTTCCTCTTTCCCATAGTTGTAAACAATTTCAACCTGTATCAAATATGCATTTCATCGTAGTAAATGGAATTGTAATTCATTACCAAAACAACAATACAAACATTTACAGATGAGGATGATGAAAATTCCAGGTTTGGCAAAAAAGATCATTTCAGTGGGACTAAAAATTAACCAAATCAGTGGTTCAACAACTATCAATAATTACATGCATATTTTAAAACATTTTCACATAAAAAAAAATATTCAACTTAGATTTTGAAATAGGTGCATATTGCTTGATTTTTTCACTTACAAAGCCAATTTGCTTTGAAGTATAATATATACTAGAGCAAGTAAATGGAAATGACCTGTGCCATTTTAACCTCTTAGTAAATATGCATGACCCAGTAAAAGCAGTTGAAATCATGTGGACCAGAATTTTTTGTCAATCAATCAAACCATGAGCAGTTCGATCCAGCTTCAAACTATTATTAAGATATTTCTGGAATCTAAAACTGTTCTTTATAAGAGATAATATGATAATTATTCATATTAAATTAATATTTAATGGGTTCATAAGGCAATAGTGTTATTTATTCGTTCAGAGATATTTCAAAATTCTTATCTTTTAATTTCATGGTATGTTGATCCATAAACAAGCAAGATTACAAATATCTAGAATTTTATTTATTGCCTAGAATTCTAGAGATGAATAAACCAATGCATCAAGCATGCTAGAGATATCATGAGAAGAACAAGTGGAGAGAAATCCGCAACAATTTCAAGGTAGGATTTATATTGCTAACACTTGATCCTCCTTTAACGATTTAATTCTTTAATAGATCTTAAGTTTTTACATAAATAAAGATTCTTAATATGTTAATCTAAAAGTATTTTTAAAAAATAAAAAGGGGCTAATGGGGCCTGACAATATCTAAGCCAATCATTTTGTGGTGTTCTGGATGGAAGGAAGTTGATAGCATTTAAAGGACAAGGAAATAGAGCTGAGGTAGAAAGCTACTGACAACCACCATCACAAACTATTTGAGTGGTCGGATAAGAATGTCACTAACACTGACAATAGCCACCAACAAGAAGACATCAATCGATGAAGGTAACATGGATTTTGATTTAATGATCAATATCCAGAAGAGGGAGGAAATGAGTTTTTAATTTAGATAATAATGTTGTGAGACGGTGAATGAGCCTCCAGTAAATGAACAATTAAGTCGGTTGAACACAGCCTTACCATTTTTTTTTTACACGAACTCATAAACTCCAATTTACAATAGAGACATCTTAAACATTGCTCCAAGCCTCCATGATAAATACGATTTGCAATTTAAATTTTATAAAAAAAAAAATAGTTCGACTATTACTTGTACTTAATAAAATTTATCTTTAAATTATAACATTGCAATATTATAAATATCTGGGAAATGTCAAAGGTTTTAATAAATCAAGCCTCATAAAACATATATATATAAATTTGACAATTATTATATTGCACTATGATGGTTAAATGCAACGCAACTTAATGATTAGGATCATGCGAAGTTATGATTTTATTGCATATAGCACATTTACATCTTAATTATTGGTATCTAAAAGTTTTTATAAAAGAATCTCTTTCCAGTTCTCAGAAGAAAGTTTCACCATATGTCAAAATGTCTGAGGTGAAAGATTAGATTTGAACTTATATGAATAATGCAAGACCATGTCAAAGCATATTATAGAATGACAATTTGATCACAAAGCTGTTAGTGGCTATTATTATGATAGTACGTCTTGAGGCAAAGATTCTTCTTCTTTTTTGCCATAAATGTCCAATAAATGTTCAAAGGAACTTCTAGATCATAATGGTCTCAGCTTAATTCATCAAATATCTCCACAAAATTCAAGGGAGTGCTCACGAATGTAATTGTATGAATTGAAAGATTCATCTCTGCGAACGCAATTCAATTGTGGGGAAATTTCCCCATCTTATGATTCCTATGATCAAGACCTTACACGTCTACCTATGAGCTCAGAACTTAGATATTGAATAAGGAACCAATAGCACTAAGAATATTATTGTTGAGACCTAGAGAACTTGGTCAGAAAGTAGAGTTACAATCATATATATGGTTGGTCGGATATAAAAAATAAAAACTTGATCAAGATTCTAATAAAAAACTCCCATGACACTATTTTTTGAAGTTTATTGTAGTATCGCTTGATTAAAAGATGAGTAAATTTTAAGATTAATTGGAGTTGTAGATGAATTAAAGAGCATCAAATAGTCCAAGTTGTTACTAACAATACTAGTGCTTAAAGAAAAGTGGTAAATAAATTGATAAAGAAGAGAGAGCATACTTAATAGACTCAATGTGCCACACATTATATTGATTTAATCCATGAAAATCATGGAGATTTGCCTTAGCTTAAGAATGCCTTGACTAAAGGTAAGAATACTAGTCAATTCATTTACAATCATAGTAGTGTAGAGATGGAAGGTCAAGAGAATTTTGTCCTCAGTTTCAGGGTCTCCCCCAAAAGATGAGGCTTTAAATATAATGGTTTTCTTAGTCGAGAGATGATAACACTTGTAACATTCTTGGGTTAATTAATAGCAAACAAAGATACATTTGAGTGTTCTTGGATCTAATTTTTCTCTATTTTGATTGTGAATGTGAACATGGGAAATGCACCAAAAGATTTTGTGCGTAAATTTATTATGGGTTCAAAATTCGGGGTAAAAGTATAATAGAATATCAATTGGTGTTTTTAGTCCCAAGATTTTTAAGGTAGTTGGTTTATAAGATACGTGGCAGTCAGAAGGCCTTCCACCAAGTAGGACTTGGGTACATTATGGTGGAATAGGAATGCACAGGTGGGCGCCAGAAGGTAACCATTTTTCCTTTCTACAACACCGTTTTATTGTCGGGTGTGAACTCATGAATGACCATGAATGGTACCTTCTTATTGAAAATAGGAGGAAAAGATTTTGTTAAAGTAATCTGTAGCATTATCAGAACGAGATTTTCTTATTTTTATCCTGAATTGGTTATGGATCATATTATGAAAAATGAGGGGAACAGCGCAAACACCAGATTTATTTTAAAGGAGAAAAATCCAAGAGACTCAAGTGCAGATATCAATGTTAAAATGCAAACGGAAAAGCATACAATTTGGGCAAGTAAACTTGTAATTAAATAAAACAAGATTCACAAAGAATTGTTGGGTATATTGCTAAGATTTACTAATTTCTACAATAGTAATTGAGAATGGAATTTCAATAAAAGAATTCCAGTTAAAGGGAAAAAATAGAGAATTGAAGGAAGAATGAATTTAGATGAGAAATTATAGTTATTTTATACTAGTTATGATTGTCTTATAAATTTCCAAGTAATAATAAAAGTTCTAAAGAAGTGTATGCCAATTGTAATTTTAGGATTCATCAAATATATGCAGAAAGAAAGTTTTTGAAAGTACGAGAAGTACCAAGAGGGAGGAGTGAATAAAAAAATTTTATAATAAAATAACAATTCTAAACAAGAGTTCTAATTATTTTATTTTTAAATTTTAAACAAAAAATTAACTTGATGCAAAAGCGAATGATTAAAACACGATTGCAACAATAGGTGGTGAAATTTTAACTTGCACAATAAAGAACTAGAACATGATTTTCACCAAGCAGTTATAATAAACGTAAAATGCAACACATAAATAAACTGCGAAAAACGGAAAAATAACAACAGAAGATTTATAATGGTTCGGTCACTTGACCAACGTCCACCCCCCGGAGTCTTCCACTCCGGAAATTTCACTACTCAAAAGTAATTCTCCTTTTGCCCCCAGAGCAAGGCGGAGAAGCCTTTAAAAACCCTCACTTTCACCAACCCGGTGTGGCGGAGTACCAAACGCAATGTCACCCTCCTGGTGACGGCAGCGAACCTTCTCGTTTTTCTCCTTTCTAGAGAAGGCAGAGTAACTTAAAGGACATGGACCTTAAAAGATCTCCCCCTTAGAAAGCTTCCCACAAGATTTTCTCAGACCACAAGAGGAGCAAGCGTGCAGCAGACTAGGAGCAACCGTGTGATCTCCCTCACAAACTCACATTTTCCTTCCTCTCACAAACCCAAAATCTTCTCAAGTAGCTCTCTCTCAAGAAATCCCCTTCTAATCACGTTCCTCTCTCATTACTTGTTTCAAAAGACAGAAGATTCATATATAAATCAAACTCCAAGAAACCCTAAATTTTCAATTTAGTTGTTTCTGTTTGTATAGTAAGATCCAATATCATATAGTACAATCAGTTCAAAACAGCCTTCGTCCTGGTACAAAGGAGTATGAACAGACAACTTTTCTGAACAACATCATATAGTACGATACAATATCGTCCAGTACGATATGTTATTTTCCTTCTGTTCATGCAGGACGAACACTGGGAAGACGAAAACTCATCTCTGTTCGTCATCTGGTACGATCCACTTTGTACAGTATGATATGTTAAAAGCATCATATCGTCCGATATGATTTGCACATCGTCCAGTACGATTAATTCAAAAATCAAGGGATCGTCCGGTACGATGTTCGGGATGATCAAAAACAACCTCGGCTGATCGTACAGTACGATAACTTATCAAAAATTAATCCATGATTTACTAACTAATCAGGGGGTTAATTTAAGTAAGTATTCAAATTATCGTACATTACGATCAGTTCAAAATTTATGGTTAAAAAACTTACTAAAATTAATCTAGCGACTAGAGTTTTTTAATTAGAAACACATCGTACAGTACGATATGCATCGTACAGTATGATTTATTCACAGATAGCCGTTGAGCCAAAACAGGTCGTACAGTACAATTTAAATTTGTACAGTAAGATCTACAGAAAAAAAATTCTTATTTTAAAAAATAAACTCTCCCCCTGTGTGTGTGCATTGTTGCTCAATTTATATACAGTTTGTGGCCAGACTCAAGAAAAGAAAAAAAATACAAAATAAATGAAAATTACAGAGTTACAAACTTCACATTCTACTCTACCCAATCTTGAGTCTTCTTATTGTC